AGACCAAAATCAGATAACTTTGCTTGGAAGTGTTCATCCAACAAGATGTTTGAAGATTTTACATCTCTATGGATTATAGGAGACTTGCAACCATTATGCAGATATTCCAATCCTGATATTAGATTTAGAATTGCGGTATCGTGTTAAGAAGGTAAAAGGGTTATAACATAAATTCACAGTTTCAATTTTACTTTCTAACCTACGGCTGCATCCACTGCTACACGAAGTCTGTCCTTCCAGCTCAATATTGGTGATTCGTTGTGTTTACCTACAGGAAAAAGTTATGTAACTTTCTGTACATGTTTGTTTTTCTTCAGTAGAAGTTATTCATACGCCTCAGACACTTCTCCAATAATAAAAATTCCATATCCACAGTTTCAAATTTCAAATCTTACTTGGAAATTGATTTAACAAATTTTTAACAAGAAATTGTTTTTATTTTAAACCAACCTGAGAGATGTTCTCGTAAGTTCCCTTTAGCCATGTATTCATATATTAGGCCCTTATTAGTTCCTTCGTTACAGTAACCAATAAGGGATATCAAATTTTTGTGACGAACACTGACTAGAAGTTTAACCTGAAAATAAAAGTCACAATCATGTTAAACCATATAGGTTAGGTACCAAAGTCAGAAACCTAGAGTAAATTGATTAAGAACTTACCTCTGCTTTAAATTGTTGATAACCATGAACTGCTGATGGGGAAAGCATTTTCACTGCAACTTGAGTCTCATCGATAAAGCCCAGGTAAACTGTTCCAAATCCTCCTTTACCAATAATTCTATTGAAATTGTTAGTGATTTGAAGGACATCATTGTATGAATACATTTTACTTTTGCGTTTCAGGAAGGAATCATCATTTTCCGTGGATTGCTGTGAAATGCCAGTCAGATGATTTACTGCCACCGAATCTGTAAATTTTTCAACTGCATTTAAAAATAATTGGTTAAAAGAATAATTTTTTGGCATGTTGTTAACAGAAAATACGATTTTTTTCGTAATTATTTCGGCATTACGTTTTGATTTTTTCCTTTTAAAGATCCACAATATTCCAACGGCTATTAGAATAAATGAAACCCCACTGGTCGAGGCTATTATGGCTGTACGTGTAGCAGTGTTTTTCTTTTTCTTCTCGTTGCATTGGCCAGATTCACATGTATATAGGTTTTTATCGACACTAGCATGGAAATCACAGAAAAATTATGATTCAAGTATCAGTAAACCTTACAAGTAATCCATAACTCAAATACATATATTTATTTTGGTTGTGCTTAGAAATTGGATGGATACTGTATATATGAATCTCTAAAACTGCCTTGAATATAAGTAATTAATAATCATCAGCATAAATAATGAATTTGAGACTTTTTAATAAGATGCATACCTTAGTGAGAGAGAACCTTCGCGTGATTTTTCAACAAGAGCAGAGGGAATTGAACCGGAGAGGAAATTCTTTTCCAACTTTCTAAAAAAATATGGTTTTCTATTATCTGATAGAAAGGATCACCTATACAGTTGTTGAGTAAATGAAGTAACTTACAAGATCTTTAAGTGTTGTAATTGAGACAGAAAATCAGGAACTTCACCATTTAAGTTATTGTTAGATAAATCCCTGGAAAACAGATAGTTTAGCCTTTTTAACTATGTTTAAATCTCAACTCATGTAGGAAATGATATGTCGATTATTCACAAAGTAATAAGTACATAACCGAAACAGTAAAAAGATATAAAACGAGATTTTTCTGTCGGGTGAAATAAAACAAACAGAAAGAAAATGAAAACTAACAGCTTCTCCAACATAGTGAGGTTTGAGATAGAAGAGTCAATCTTTCCTGACAATCCACTAGAAGATAAATTCCTGCTTTGCTCAATGAATAGTTATATAAGATTTCATCGCAGTTTTATAAACCTATAATAATAATAATTTGGCAAGCATGACTTACAAAGCTGTAATTCTGGGAAACTCATTGCCGAGATAAGTACAATTGAGACCATCCCACAAGTAGGCTGCAGGGGAGCATGGATCACCTTCCCAATCCCGTTCCACTCCATAAACTGACTTGATGCTTATAAGCGCATCAACTTTTTTTTAATGCAAAAAAGAGGGGTAGAAGGGAGTTAAGTTCATGTAGAATAGTGTAAACCAAATAAATGGATATAAAAAATGAAAAATACCATCTCCTTGGAATGTTTCTGGTTTCTGTAAGTCTATTACTCTGTAAATTTCAATGCCACTGATGATGGGAGGTAGGGTTGAATTTTCAGTCCTCTCCAGTGAAAATTTAAGTTCTTTCCCACTGATGGCTGACGTCGAAGATATAGTATTCTTATCATGGTATTTTGGAGATTAATTTGTAATCCATGATTTAGCGTTTATCATGATGTTGAATAGTCTTGTCTGATTGGTGGTTAACACTTGAATTTCCGTGAAGTGCATGTACACATAGAATTGGTCAGTTTCATGTTCTGGCTCCCACCTTATTACCAACGGGTCACTATCATTTTGTGGTTCAACTGCGGTGCTCATGATAGGTGCTCCCGGCTTGTAATCATTCTCATTTAAAGAATCTTCGGGAATGGAGGCACTTAGTGGTTTCCAATTTTCGCCCAAGTTACAGGCGTTCCAGGAAGAACGATCATACCAGTAACGATCATAAACATCATCCGGGTAACTGTGAGAAAATCAGAATAAATCAATCAATCTTATAAGGCAAGATACACATTTAATCCTTAAGTATGATTTCACCTGTAGGTTGTGTCTGAACCCAAATCGCAGCGAAGGTAATTGTAAAGTTCCAATGATCCGAATTGAGTGACGTATGTATCATTTTTCAAAATCCTCAATTCAATGACTGATATAAATGGTGTGCCATTGCCTGTGTCAACCAGACAGATTTGCACATAATCCATTGAAGGTACATGAATGATCTCCTTGAATTTGTCCTTGGATGCATTGAATATAGTGACTGTAACCCAGTGGTTAGGTCCGAGAAGAAGATCAAACTGTGGTAACATATTTCGGCCATCATAATTTCCGTACAGAAAAGAAGTGCGTATGAGATACTTAGAGGCTTTTGTGACGCTTATTTTGTAGCAGTTCCTTTTTCCTTCCGGGAAGCTTCTCAGCCTCCACAGTTGTCGTTGATTACTGTATCTGCTCATCTCTTCAGATGATATTGTCCCACTTACACCAGTATTTATGAAATCTGCATCCGAAACGTAATTTATGTCTAGTGACGGCTCAGTATAGTTCACACCTGCTTGAGCTCCGCAATCTATGCTGATGAATCCTAAAACATAAACATGCAAAAATATGCATGGCACTCTTCAGCTAAACTTTTATAAAATAATAATGATATAATGAAAATGCATGTTTTAATTTGTTAACAAACCTGGTTGGCCCTTAGCTTGAATGAGAATGACAAGAACTATAATTCCTACAAAAGTAACTAGGAAACTCGATGACATTCCCATTTTTCACGACCTTGTGCTTTCTGGGTTTGAAGTAGACTATGGCACATATATATGAGCTTGCCTTGTTGCTGTTGTGAGTTGCACTACAAAAGGAACTATGTTTGTGTTCGGGCGACTAGGTCAATGTCAACTTGGAGGTAAGTCTAACCAGTTTTTCTACTTCTTTAATTGTTTGTTCCTTTCCATTTCAGTCTAACTATTTATTCTCCCTTTTCAGCTACTGCAGGAGGAACATCCACTTGCTTACTCAGTATTTTCTGTCGTATTCATCACTTATCACTCATCCACTTGCATCAAATAAATGAAAACAAAAATGAATTAAAAACATTACAACTAAGCTTCTTAAAAAATATAAAACTAGCAATAAAATGCTTATGTATGTAATATGATGTGTATGTTAGAATGATGGAAAGCCGGAAGGCTTTTGAAATCCCGCCATTGTTTCAGGATACTAGCAAATTGCTAATAAAACACAATATTAGAAATTGAGATTTGATTAAGTCCCACGTTAAATTGAATAGCCAGAAAGTTTAACGCTAGGGAAAAAAACCTATAAATTTATTGGTAGAAGATAATATGAATCTCTTATATTACTTGAACTCATACTTTATTAGTATTTTTCTGTGAATCCCTTTCAAAAGACCCACACAAATAATAAAGATTTTAATATTATGTCATTCTAAGTTGAAGGAGAGCAAACTATCTCCATGGTTGGAAGTTATGAAGTAAAAACTAACCCTAAATGTTATAAGTCTAAAGAGTTTCGCATTTCTTAATTGAACCCTCCATGGTTCAATTTTAGTCTAATTATTCTTTCTTCCTCCATGGTAGGAACATCCACTTGCTTCTTACTTAGAGTTTCCTGTCATATTCATCAGTTGTCACTCATCATACAAATAATACTACATTCACTGGTCAAACAATGTAAATTGCAATTAAAACCAATGTATGCATCTTAATAAATAATATCTACCTATCAGAACAATTGTCGTCCTAATTATCTCACACACTAACCCAAAATACTTAAAAAATTATCTTCATTATAAACCTACTTTGAGAGAAACAAAGAGCATAACAGAAACATTTTAAGAATTAAAAATAATAAATATTACACTTAAATATTAAATCCTTATTTATATTAAAAGAGGGTGTGTATTAAATCAACAAAAAATATTTCCATTTGTACGTGTTCTGAACCTTTATATATGGTAAGAAGATGGAAGCCTTTAGAAATTTTATGCTGATCAATAGCTTTTAGAAATTCTTACTTTGATTTGGTGAAGCTAAATTTAGCCTAAACTCAAAAATTATAACAAAAAATGAAACTCGTCTTTTATAATCTAAAAGTGTACGTGCACTTATATGAATACAGAAAAATTGATCTTTAATGAGTTCTTTAAGAATTTTATCTACTTAGGAATGCTATAAAAACAACTAGTGGGAATAGCTTTTTTACATGATTCAACTTCCTCTGAAAATCTTTTTCTAGGTCGAATTTCTTCCTGGTGACCGAGGTCATTGAATTTGTTACTTTGTTATATTGTAAATTTCAATGCCACTGATGATGGGAGGTAGGGTTGAATTTTCAGTCCTCTCCAGTGAAAATTTAAGTTCTTTCCCACTGATGGCTGACGTCGAAGATATAGTAAGCCAATCATGGTACACTGGAGAACAATTTGGAAACCATGATTCAGCGTTTATCATGATGTTGAATTGTCTTGTCTGATTCGTGGTCAACACTTGAATTTCCGTGAAGTACATGTGCACATAGAATTGGTCAGTTTCATGTTGTGGTTCCCACCTTATTACCAACGGAGCACTATCATTTGCTGGTGTGACTGCGGTGCTCATGATAGTTGCTCCCGGCTTGTAATCATTCTCATTTAAAGAATCATCGGGAATGGAGGCATTTAGTGGTTTCCAATTTTCGCCGAAGTTACAGGCGTTCCAGAAAGAACGATCATACCAGTAACGATCATAAACATCATCCGGGTAACTGTGAGAAAATCAGAATAAATCAATCAATCTTATAAGGCAAGATATTTAATCCTAAATATAATTTCACCTGTAGCTTGTGTTTGAACCCAAATCGCAGCGCAGGTAAAATTCCAATGATCCGAATTGAGTGACGTATGTATCATTTTTCAAGGTCCTCAATTCAATGACTGATATAAATGGTGTGCCATTGCCTGTGTCAACCTGACAGATTTGCACATAATCCATTGAAGGTACATGAATGATCTCCTTGAATTGGTCCTTGGATGCATTGAATATAGTGACTGTAACCCAGTGGTTAGGTCCGAGAAGAAGATCAAACTGTGGTAACATATTTCGGCCATCATAATTTCCGTACAGAAAAACAGTGCGGATGAAATACTTAGAGCCTCCTGTGACATTTATTTTGTAACAGTTCCTTTTCCCGTCTGGGAAGCTTCGAAGCCACCGCAGTTGCCGTTGATTTTTTGTGCCGATGAGCGCTTCAGATGATATATTCCCAATCAAACCAGTATTTATGAAATTTGCGTCCGAAACATAATTTATACCAAATCCTAAATCGGTATAGTTCAAACCTGGATCAGCTCCGCAATCTATGCCGAAGAATCCTAAAACATAAAATTGCATTTAGTACTGATAATGTTACTATACATTTCTAGATAATTAAATCTTCTATGATTCTCAAAAAAAAAAGAAATTCAGTAATAAAAATAGTAAAAATAAAAGTAAAAGTAACGTAATTTACATTTATTTAACATATATTATAAAAAAAAGTCAAAAATAAATAATTTAAAAAAATAAAAATATAATATCAAATAAAAGTAAAAAAAAAAATATAATTTGTCTAACTTATTAGAAAGTTCAAGATATTATTAAAAAAATATCTGATGGATTGGATGATTCCTATAAAAAGGCACTGCCATTGCACTTGATTGAGAAATCAGTGTAATTGTGCACTCCTTTCTCCGTGTCATTGCTGCCTGCCCTCTATCCTACGTACCCTCATCTATGGACTCTAACCTTTTGATAAATGTGAAGTATAGTTCAAGAGTATGCGAAATATTATATATTTAACCTCAAAAACAATTTATTTAGGCTCACGACGAAAAAAACAAATAGAAATTAGTTTCCAAATATTCTAGTTTGATGATAATTTTTTTTTAATTAGTATCAAATTAGTCCTTAAAATTATATCTTAACCATACAATAGTTTTATTATTAACATCATGATAGAATTATTTATATATTTAGAAACTAAATCAGTTTTTTTTTCTTCTTCTTAAGAATAAAACTAGAAACTTCTCACCAATTCAGACACTGAATTAATTAATTATTTATCAATTATTTTCTTTCGACGGTTGATTTATTCATATCGACAGTAGATTTTATTCACTTGAATGAATTTGAGAGAGAATAATTGAGTGAATTTGAGAGAATTTGGAAATAAATTTTTTTGTTAGTTTATTTGAGTGGATTTGGAGGTAAGTGAGAGTGAATTTAGAAGTAAATTTTTTTAATTTGTCACAACAATCAAATCCTACACTAATTCTCACAAAAGTTGCTTCCAAATTAACTCTCACCTACTTCAAAATTCATTCAAATAAACAAAAAAAAGTTAACTTCAAATCCTCTCAAATTCTCTCAATCACTCTCCCTGAAATCCATTCAAGTGAACAAGTTTTATCTTTCTAGAATCTAACAATTATTAATTATTTTCTCTTTAAAATCTTAAATATTTATATGTAGAAGTTCATAACCAATGAACGGATATTCATAACTAATAACCAAAGATTTATTGTTGGTTGGAAATCCAAATCACACATTGAACAAGAGAAAGTGCAATATTATACAAAATATGTTTAGTGACACTTAAGTAACTTAAGCAATATGTTGTAAGTCTAGTGGTATACATAAGTGGTGACTAATCACTCCATGCATCACTTAAGGTCACTCGAGCATCAACATCGATTTTCAAGCTATGTGAATACCATTGTTTCTCTCTTAGGTCTCTCAATGCTCAAGAGCAAGAGTGGTCATTCAAATGTTGAAATGGTAGTGATACATAGTGTTTTTGGAACTTGTTGAATTGTAAACAGGTCTCCTTGGTCAAATAAAGATACACTTTTCAACTCATAAAAGAACACAGAGCTCTAATTTTCTCTCTTCTCGGTGTCACACACCCCTTTCTTTTCCTTTTTTCTCTTTCACGCTAGACGTTGTAGTTCTTTCTCTCTCTCTTGTGGTTCTCATTGGTGGTGGTGTTATAAACCGTTAAATAATGATACAATGAAGTTGTTTGAAAAAACGAATGTTTTGCTTTAACAAACCTGGTTGAGCATGAGCTTGGATGAGTAGAACAGTTAGAAAAGCAACGTAACACAGTGTATAGGATGACAGACATGCGAGCACCAGCACCATGACTTAGACGAACTGGTGAAGGAGTCAACGTGAAGCTAATTGCAAGCACTTTTTAGCTTTAATTTCTCTTTCCGTGTTTAAGCCTTCGATCTGCATCATAAAAATAATACTACTGAATAATATATTTTTATGACCAAAGTGTAATTTATTTTGAAAACACAGCTAGCATAAAAGACGTAATATTAGCACAATAACTGTGCAATGATTGACTGCTATATGCTATAAAAAGATACAGAAAAATATTTAGACAAAGAATGGCAGAACCAACCTAATCAACTTCCTAACCACTTGGAGGAGTATATACAAAAGAGACCAATAATAAACACTTTAAATTTTAATTTTGCTGTCATTGATCTTAAAGTTTATTGTCATTTAAGTAAACAACTAAAATTTTAATACTATCCTAATTAATCATTAAAAATTTTCATTTTTCATAAATGATTTTTTCTAACACATTTGAGTTAAATCATTTACATTAAATGTTACTAATTTACTAATTTTCTTCTTCTTTTTATTACAGTTTTTATATATTAAATAATAAAAAATAGAAAAATAAAGTAAAAACCAAAAAAAATAAAAAAAAATATAGATTATGTTTATTAAATTTATTATGTTTTTAAATCATTATAGATTATATAAAAAAAATATATAGACTTTTATTATAAGTATTTTTTAAATCATATTAATTATATTTTTAGTTGATGACAGTGGAAATTATACACTTACACTTCATAGTTGTCAAATTTAATGAATAAGAAAAAAATTTAAATTGTGTGCGAACTTATTTATTAACTGTTTGTATAGGAAAAGAATAATAATGTGTTTTATTCAACATGTCAAGTTGATACATTCTTAAAACGAGGTCAGACTAAATATTCTTTTTTAAAAAGCAAAGAAATCACTGTTTATTATTATTATTTTTTTTTGCTTGATTCATTTTAACAGTCGTATTTTTATTATATATAAAAAAATTGCTACAAAGAAAATAAAATATTATCATTAAAAAAATTATTTAACTCAAACTTATTACAAAAAGAAATTATGCGCGCTGTTGAAAACAGAAATAATTGTACATTATCAAAGAGTAACCAATCAACAATTAGAAAACGAGATACTCCACGTGGCAAGTTTAGGATGAAGAATATACAAAGGTTTAATAGCCAATTTAGTCCCCACTTTGGTTGAAAAATCTCAATTTA